CTTCCCTCTGGGGACCCGAGGGGCACCCCGGGCCCTGCCTGGGACCCCCCACGTTTACTGAATCTTCAGACCAAAGCGAACGGCACGCACGTGGCCTCCCCGTCACTTCTCGCCGGGCTTCCAGCATCTCCAAGGTCAACCCTGAGCACCTCCAAGGTCAACCTCAGCTGCGCAGCTGCTCCTCCGGCCGCCGTGGAGGCCGGTTTGGGGGCGTGAACTCTGGGCCCTGGGGCGGGTGGGGGAGTCTGTTTCCACATCGGCCGTGGCTGTTGAAATGGCCGAGACGCCCCCAGAAAGTCAGAGCCCACAGCCCCGAGGGGAAGGGGCTGCCTGTCCCAGGTCTCGGGGTCCCCCGGCCCCAGTGCCCGCAGCCACCCCCCCCCAGAGTCTTCCTAGCAGGGTCCCCGGGAGCCTGTCCGCGGGGCCAGCAGGTGCCTGACCCCGGGGCCCGGCCATCCTGCCGCCGCTGTGAGCCCGGCCCCTGGGCAGTGCGTCCCCCCACGTCCCCCGCGTGGAATGGCCTCGGGGGCCGGGTCCTCCATGCGCCTCCGCCCGGACTGAGCCGACGGCACGGCGGGAGCTCCTGCTGCCAAACCTGTGTCGGGCGGGCGTGTCGTCAGCTGCCTGTTCCGGTTCTCCCCGAGGGGGGTCCGTGGACAGGGAGCCCCGATATTTCCCAGGAAATGCACAGATCGGCTCCCGGGACGGGAGTAACCTTTGCCTTAAACTTTCTCTCGAGCTTGTGCGTCTCCGTTGTGTCCGGCTCCCCCCTCGGACCACCAGGGAGCCCATGTGTCCCTGGGAGCTGGGGGGGGCCCCCCACGCAGGAGGAAGACGCCTTCAGAGCAAACGCAGTGCTAACCCTAAGTTAATAAAGAGTTAACAGCCCATTGCGAAGATGTGTTTCTTTCCTGGGCACAGCGATTACACGTGGGTGCTGCCTGGCCGGTGTGGCTCAGTGGTTGAGCTTCGACCTGTGAACCAGGAGGTCACGGGGTTCCATTCCCAGTCAGGGCACAGGCCTTGGGTGTGGGGGTGCAGGAGGCAGCCGATCGATGACTCTCATCGCTGATGTTTCTCTCTCTGCCCCCTCCCTCCCCCTCTGAGATCAATAACGTATTTTAAAAAACAAAAATACAAAACCTTTTTTAAAACCCAGCAAGCGGAATGGCAAGTTCCAGTGCACATGTGTTGATATATATGCGATTTGACATGTGTGCTAATTTGTTGTATTGACAACAAGCTTCAAAACTTCCTATGTCAATTTGCTGAAGGTGTTAGCATCATAGATATTTTTAGGCCTAAAAATGTCGAATTTCGTGCCAAAAAGAGCATTTGCGGGAAGTTTTAATTCATTACTAGTAACTGGTGAAAAAAATCCGCACTATTAACCGGTACAACTGGTAAAACCAGTTTTGTGGTGTGAGGGCGCCGCCTTGTGGACATCTCTGGAATCGCATGAGGTTTGTTTAAACTTTTTTTAAGTCATCACAATGCAAAGTACAGACAAGTTACTGGTACAGAGAACTCTTCATGAGCGATCTGACATCTCCCATGTGACACCCTACCACCTCCCAAACATTTTAATTTTTTTTCCTCCCAAATACCTCAGAGGCGATTTCTAGAATCAGGACCCCTCCAGACTCCAGAGACCCCCCCAAGTACGCAACCAGAATCAGGAACGTAGCCTAGGCGCCCCAGGACCTCCGAACCGCAAGAGATCGGTTCCTGCGTATGGCAGTGGGGGGCCCCCCCCCGCAGGGGTGGATCGAACCCATGACACCGAGAAAGACGCCCTCAGAGCAAATGCAATGCTAACCCGAAGTTAATAACAGTTAACAGCCCACAGCGAAGGCGTCTGTTTCTTTCCTGGGCACAGCGATTACACGTGGGTGCTGCCTGGCCGGTGTGGCTCAGTGGTTGAGCTTTGACCTATGAACCGGGAGGTCAAGGGTCCGATTCCTAGTTGGATTCCGGGTTGGGGAGGCAGCTGATCAGTGATTCTCATCGTGGATGTTTATCCCTCTCCCTTCTTCTCTGAAATCAATAAAAAGTATATATATTTTAAAAGGAACAAAGCAGTGCCAGCTGAGTCCAGCTTGCAGGGCTCCGGTTGGGGATGGCCTGTCAGGTCAGTGGAGCAGCGGCAGGAAGCCTGGAGGAGGCACCTCAGGAGGCAAAGAAATTAGTGCCTTGGGAGGACCCTGTCCTGGGGGCAGCCTGTCCGTGGCTGCAGGTTCACAGGCTGAGGGTGAGGGTTCAAGAGCAGAGGCCGTCCCGGAGTCTCGAGTGCCTGGCAAACGTCCTTTTTGTCTCTGTTCTTTTGAGCTTTCATTGCAGAGGAGACCATTAAAACAACAGAATACCCTCCGGCCGGTGTGGCTCAGTGGTTGAGTGTCGACCTATGAACCAGGAGGTCCCACGGTTGGAATCCCAGTCAGGCACATGCCCCGGTTGTGGGCTCCATCTCGGGTATGGGGTGTGCATGAGGCAGCTGATCTATGATTCGCTCTCAAAATTGGTGTTTCACTCTGACCCCCTTCCTTCCCCTCTGAGATCAATAACATAAGAAAAAAAACCCCACAAAACCTTTTTAAAAACCCAGCTAGCACAATGGTAAGCAAAACCAGTTTTGTGGGCTGAGCGCGCCGCCTTGTGGACATGTCTGGAATTGCAGCGGGTTTGTTTAAAGTCATCACAATGCAAACTACAGAAGTTACCAGTGCAGAAAACTCTCATTATGAGGGCGCCGCCTTGTGGACATCTCTGGAATTGCATGAGGCTTAAACTTATTTTTAAGCCATCACAATGCAAATTTCAGAAAAGTTACTGGCACAGAGAACTCTTCCTAAGCGATCTGACATCACCCATGTGACACCCTACCACCTCCCAAGTATTTTAAATTTATTTTCCTCCCAAATACTTCAGAGGCGATTTCCTATAAACAAGGGCCTTCTCCGGCACAACCATCAGAATCAGGAAGTTCATGCTGAGCGTCTCTACGGTCCAATCCACTGACGGGTTCACACGTGGCCCGTTGTCCCAGGAAGGCCCTTCGCAGGCGCCAGAGACCCCGCTGCACCCCCTTCCCGGGAGAGGCACCCTGTGCATTGAGTCTTCATTTCTCGCCAGTCCTCTTCCTGGAACCTTTTAAAGACTCGAGTGCTTAACACTTTGCTTAACCAGCGGATACAAAAGTCTAGAATCAGGGCCCCTCCAGACTCCAGAGACCCCCAGGATCGCAACCAGAACCGGGGAAGTAGCCCGGGGGCCCCAGGACCTCGGAACCGCAAGAGATCCGGAGCCTGGCTCTTCGATTGTTTCGGCCTGGGCGCCGAGCGGCGCGCGCGTATAGTATGTCGGCAGGATCAATTAACGCTGCCTGTTGGAGGGCGCAAGGCACGCTGGGATGTGTACCTGGCGTTGGGCGCGAGCACACCGGAAGTGTGTCGACGTCGGCGAGGTGCACGCCGGGAAGCGAGGCTAGCGGTGAGCGAGGCATGCCGGGAAGTGCGTCTTTGCGTCAGTCGCGGGGCACGCCGGGAAGTGTGTCGACGTCGACCCGGGGCATGCCGGAGGTGCGTCTGTCGTCTACGCGGGGCATGCCGGGAGGTGAGTCTACAGGTGGGCCGGGGCTAGTCCGGAAGTGTGTCAGAAGGAGTTCCGGTCGCCCGGAAGTGGTCGTCTGCGGGCGCGGGCACGCCGTGTAGTGGTCGTTTTGCCGGCCAGCGCGGGTCATAAAGGGAAGTGTGTCTGGTGACGGGCCTGAGCCACGCCGAGAGGACTGTCTGACGGGAGCCCCGGGCGCCGCGGGGCGCGAGCAGGGAGGCGGCAGGATGGTGAAGCTGACGGCGGAGCTGATCGAGCAGGCGGCGCAGTACACCAACGCCGTAGGGGACCTCGAGCTGGACCTGCGAGGCTATAAGATCCCCATCATCGAGAATCTGGGTGCGACCTTAGACCAGTTCGATGCCATTGACTTTTCTGACAATGAAATCCGGAAGCTGGACGGCTTCCCGCTGCTGAGAAGACTGAAGACCCTCCTGGTGAACAACAACAGGATCTGCCGCATCGGCGAGGCGCTGGACTTCGGCCTCGTGGGACCGTTTCTCAGTATGATCTGCTCGAGAGCGAGCGGCTGGTTCCCAGGAAACACGTTAAAGTGATAGCGTCAGAGTGAGGGTAGGGCGCGTGCTGGTCCTTTACTTTTCCTTCTTTTTAGAGAGAGCGGAGGCGGGGGGGGGAGAGACACATGCATGTGAGAGAGACACATCGCCTTGTTGCCTCCCGCACACGCCCTGACCGGGTCCGGGATCGAACCCGAGACCCTCGGGGGCTCCGGCCACAGGGGCCAAGCCGAGGCCATTAGGGAGGAAGCCAAGTCCGTGAAGCAAAGGACCGACCCCCTGCGCTTCCTCAGCAGCGTCAGCGGCCCCGGGCCCTTCACGCAGACACCTCACCAGGTGACCGTCTCTCATCAAACTGCCCCCGTGTCAGCGCCGACACTGAACCGTTCCGATCCGGAGCTGCTGCAACCCCAGGAAAGGTTACAGTGCACCTCCCGGCCATGGCCACACCCCAATGAGCACCCTCAATGCCGCTCCCTTCAGACTTGAGAGACGGGGGAGAACCCCGGGGGCAGGCAGCACAGTGGTCAGTCAGGCTGGAAATGACTCCTTGGAAACAGAGTTTCATGAAAAGGAAAGTGCTCTGACCCGGGCCGGATGTCTCAGTGGTTACAGCGTCGGCCCGTGGACTGAAGGGTCAGGGGTTCATTTGAGGTCAAGTTCAGGTTCATGGGTTGCAGGTTCAATCGGGACCAGTCGGGGCGTGTGCAGGAGGCAACCGACCCATGTGTCTCTCTTCTCTCCCTCTCCCTTCCACTCTCTCTAAGAACCAATGGAAATGTGTCCTAGGGGGAGGATGAGCAACAACAACCAAGCAATCGGAGGGACAGGCAGCTGTCTGTCCAGTAAATCAGAAGGGGACTTAGGAAGACTGTGAAGAGCAACACGCCCAACCAACTGAGCCAGGCCAGCCAGGCCCGGGTGTGAATAGCTCCCTGATAAAGGCATCAGAGCCACCGCAGGAAACATACTGGCCCGTCTGCCCAGGCCCGTCTGCCCAGGCAGGGGGCAGAGGGCATGCCATCCACGGGCACCCTTGGCCCCAGGAGCCAACAGGGTTCCCAGGGGTTCCCCGCAGGAAGGGGACTCCAGGCAGAAGAAACGGCCTATGCAGGGCCCTGAGTGTGGGCCTGGCCTAGACGGAAGGAATTTGCCCTCAAGGCGGAATGCCTTTCAAGGAGTAAACAGGGAAGTGTCCCTCCTCAGAGTACGCGGTGGCCCCACGGCGCTGAATCGAAGGCACAAAACTTGTAAACAAACTTCTCAGCTCATTGCTGGGCCCTCTGCCAAGAGCCTTGCACAACATCTTTTATCTTCCACCAGCCCAGGAAGTCATACTAGCCTCAGAGAGGCTGAATAACTTCCCCAAGGTCACACAGCCTTGAGTCCTGACTCCAGATCAGAGGGGACCCTGTGGGACGGACCAGGGTGGGGCTCAGTGACCCCAGGGAGGACGGAGCAGGGACTGAAGTATTGTGCCCCTTCTGCTTCTTGAGGGAGCCCAGTCCAGGGCGGTGGGGGCCCTCTAAAGTGGGGGACAGGCCTGCAGCCGGTGGGGAGACTCCGGCCCCCACCCCACAAAGGCCCTCCGATATTCTAGCTCAGCATTTTAATATTTTTTAAATGGCTGACATTCTTCAAATGGAGCCTTCAGCCCTAGCCAGGTTGGCTCCGTGGATAGAGCGTCGGCCTGCTGACAGGGGTCCCAGGTTGGACTCCAGTCAAGGGGACATGCCCGGGTTGTGGGCGGGCTCGATCCCCAGTGGGGGGCATGCAGGAGGCAGCTGATCAATGACTGTCATTATTAATGTTTCTATCTCTCTCTCCCTCTCTGAAATCAATATATTTTAAAAAAAATGAAAACAGCCCTGACTGGTTTGGCGGCCTTGGGGATGAGCTGGTCCAGTCTGTGCCCGGGATCCACTCCCACGGGGACCATGGCATCTCAGCGCAGCTGCTGCTGCCTCTGCTTCTGGCCTAGACTCCTTGCGGACAAAGCCAGGTCCTTCTACCCTCCTGGGTCATGGGCTGATGCCAACCACTGAGCGACACTGGCCGGGCCTAGGTAAACACTTTCTGGGTGAATGCTAGCTTTTTAAAATAAATTACTGGGAAATTCTGCTAATGTACTCTAGCGCCTTTTAGTTTTACTAATACTTGTGGGCTTTTTCCTCTCCGTTTCACAGGCTATAAGATCCCTGTCATTGAGAATCTGGGTGCAACTTAGACCAGTTCGATGTGATCGACTTTTCTGACAATGAAATCCGGAAGCTGGACGGCTTCCCACTGCTGAGGAGACTGAAGACCCTCCTGGTGAACAACAACAGGATCTGGTGAGTGGCTGCCGGGGCAGCGTCTGGTGCCCAGGGTAAACGTCGTACCTGCTGCCAGTGCCTCCTACATGTTCCCTCTAAAGATGAGAAATGAGGCCCTAACCGGTTTGGCTCAGTGGATAGAGCATCGACCTGTGAACTGAAGGGTCCCAGGTTCGATTCCGGTCAAGGGCATGTACCTTGGTTACAGGAACATCCCCACTGGGGAGTGTGCAAGAGGCAGCTGATCGATGTTTCTCTCTCATCCATGTTCCTAACTCTCTATCCCTCTCCCTTCCTCTCTGTAAAAAATCAATAAAGTATATTTTTTAAAAGATGAGAAACGAGGAAGCTTTTCTCGTGCAGGTGAGAGCTTAGCTTGGCGTTGGGCTCGCCCAGCGGTTTCCAACCTTTTCCATCTCATCTCAGGGCGCACACAACTAGTCACTCAAATGCTGCAGCACAGACTCTGACCCAAAAATACAGATTTATATTGATTTCAGAGAGGAAGGGAGGGGGAGAGAGGTAGAAGCATCAATGATGAGAGAGAATCACTGATCAGCAGCCCCCTGCACACCCCGCACTGGGGATGGAGCCCACAGCCAGGCGGGTGCCCTGACCGGGAATGGAACCCTGACCTCCTGGTTCATAGGTCGATGCTCATCCCATCATGTGATGGGTTAAGTCCGCCTGGAACCTGTCCTCCAGGGAGATGACCCGGCTCTGCATTCGCTGTGCTTCCTGGCAGATCTGAGTTTGTCTTCTTTTCCTGGAGCTGGCTTGTCTCGCTCACCTTTATGTTTTCCCTCCTCTTTGCTCCCTCTCATTCCTGCGCGCTCCGTCTCTCTTTCTGTTCGTTCCCTTTTTCCTGGAGCAGCTTAGAGATTAATTATTAAACAGCTGGGCTCTGTTCCTAGCTCCTAGGGACGCACACAGATGTGCTGCCCAAGTGTCTACTTCTGCTGCTGACACCAGTACAGACACCCTGGTTCCCGGCCTCTGCCACCTCCCCCCCTGCCCCCTCCCTCTGGTCACCACAGGCATCTGCTCACATTTGTCAAAGTGGAAAGGTGACCAGTTACCTCTACCCTCCCAGACAGTGCAGGGCCCTGAGCCATTTCAGCCCCACACGCCAGCTCGCTGTGTGTGTAATGCGCTGTTTAAAGCCATCGGCGCTGTGCGTGGAGAAGCTGTTATGTCCGAGATGGGAGGGTGCAGAAGCTCCAGTGCATTCATCAGCTTGTTCCCTGGAAGCGCATCGGGCGCTGGAGCGGGAAGGACGGGGCAGGATGGTCCTCGCTCCAGGCATCACCGTGCGCAGCGGCTCAGGGGGGTGTCTGCTCTCCCTCCACAGGGCGACCTGGACCCGCGGGCAGGCGTCGCTCAAGTCGCTGACCTCCCTGAGGTAGGAGACGCCCTGTGACAGTGAGTCCTTCACAGTAACCCCTGCCCGGCCTGGACCTTAACACCCCGTGAGGACAGAGGAATGCTGCATGGGCACGAACTGGAAAAGGTTTACAATTTAAAAAATACCTATATTGTTTTAAAACTCATAAACCTAATTCTGTTTTACCCGCTATGGAGAAGAAAAGAAAAGGGCACCTTTCAACACAAATCCTGCAAAGCACTGTTCGTGACCTGTGGGCCGTGCTGTGGCTAACGGGTTCCATTCCAGTGCGACAGCAGCCCCACTGCCAGCACACTGACCGCCTGATGGTGCTCTCAGTGTCAGGTCTTGGACACAAGCATGGCAGCGGGAGGAGGCAGGAAAAAAATATATATATTGCAGCTCTGGCTGGTGTGGTTCCGTGGTTAGAGCATCGAACTCTGAACCAGGAGGTCCTGGTTCAATTCCTGGTCAGGTGCCACGAGAACTGCCGGAGCTGCGAGCGGGCCTCATGCAGCTGGGGGCCTCGTGCGTCGCCAACCACACCTGCAGTAACGGTGAGCGGGGCCTGGGACCTGGCACCACGGGGCAGACCCCCACAGCCCCCCAATCTGACTGGGCTTTCCTTTTTTCTCCCCAGCAGACAAGACCTTCTGCGAGATGGTGAAGTCCAACCGGCTGTGTGAGCGCAAGCTCTTCATTCAGTTCTGCTGCCGGCCCGTGGGTGGCGGCCCCCAGCGGTGTCCCTACGGCGACCACATCCTTCCGGGGACCCCAATTGGAACCCCTGGGCCCTGCCTGGGAACCCCCACGTTTACCAAATCTTCCAACCAAAGCGGAGCGTCAAGCATGTGGCCTCGCTCGTCCCTTCTCGCTGGGCTTCGAGCATCTCCAAGGTCAACCCCAGAGGCCAGTGGGACGGGCCATCCCCACGTGTGACGAAGGGCCCAGCCGCCCGTGTCCTCCGCCCGGACTGTAGTCAGACGGCAGGGGAGGACCTCCTCCTGCCAAACCTGTGTGGGCGTGTCCTCAGCTGCCTGTTCCGGTTCTCCCCGTGGGGGTCCTGTGGACTGGGAGCCCCTCTGTTTTCCAGGAAATGCACAGATCGGCTCCCGGGACCCGGAGTAACCTTTGCCTTAAACTTTCTCTCGAGCTTGGACATCTCTGTTGTGTCCAGCTCCCCCCTTGGACCATCCGGCAGCCCACCTGTCCCTGGGAGCTGGGCCCCCCCGCAGGGGTGGATCGAACCCATCACAGCGAGGAAGACGCCCTCAGAGCAAATGCAGTGCTAACCCTAAGTTAATAAAGAGTTAACAGCCCATTGCGAAGATGTGTTTCTTTCCTGGGCACAGCGATTACACGTGGGTGCTGTCCAGCCCGTGTGGGTCAGTGGTTGAGCTTCGAACTATAGACCAGGAGGTCACGGTTCGATTTCTGGTTCGATGCCCAGGTTGGGGGCTCCATCCCCAATGTGAGGTGTGCAGGAGGCAGCCAATGGATGTTTCTCTCTCATCATTGATGTTTCTATCTCTGTCCCTCTCCCTTCCTCTCTGATATCAATAACATATTAAAAAAAATACAACACCTTTTTTAAAACCCAGCAAGCTAAATGGCAAGTAACAGTATACATACGTTGATATATATATATGCGATTTGATATGTTTGCTATTTTGTTGTATTGACAAGCTTCAAAACTTTCTATGTCAAATTTTCTGAAGGTGTTAACATCATAGATATTTTTACACCTAAAAATGTCAAATGTCGTGCCAAAAAAAGCATTTGCGGGAAGTTTTAATTCATTACTGGTAACGAGTGAAAAAAATCCGCAATATTAACCGGTACACCTGGTAAAACCAGTTTTGTGGTCCGAGCGCGCCGCCTTGTGGACATCTCTGGAATTGCATGAGGTTCAAACATTTTTTTAAAGCCATCACAATGCAAACTACAGACAAGTTACAAGTATAGACAGAGACCTCTCCCTCTTCATGAGCGTTCTGACATCACCCATGTGAGACCCTACCACCTCCCAAGTATTTTAATTTTTTCCTCCCAAATACTTCTGAGGCGATTTCCTATAAACAAGGGCCTTCTCGGGCACAACTATCAGAATCGGAAAGTCCAGGCTGAGCGTCTCTACGGTCCAATCCTCTGACGGGTTCACACGTGGCCCGTTGTCCCAGGAAGGCCCTTCGCAGGCGGCCAGAGACCCTTCTACACCCCCTTCCCGGGAGAGCCACCCTGTGCATTGACTCTTCATTTCTCACCAGTCCTCTTCCTGCAACCTTTAAGACTCGCGTGCTTAACACTTTGCTTAACCAGCGGGTACAAATGTCCAGAATCAGGGCCCCTCCAGACTCCAGAGACGCCCCAGGATCGCAACCAGGACCGGGGATGTAGCCGGGGCGCCCCTGGACCTCGGAACCGCAAGAGATCCGGAGCCTGGCTCTTGGACTTTTTTCGCCTGGAAGCCGAGCGGTGCACATGTACGTAGGGACCTGGTGGGTCCCCTCGGATGAACCCACGGCACCGAGGAAGACGCCCTCAGAGCAAATGCAGTGCTAATCGTGAGTTAATAACAGAGTTAACAGCCCACAGTGAAGCCTCTGTTTCTTTCCTGGGCACAGCCATGACACATGGGTGCGGCCCAGCCGGTGTGGCTCAGTGGTTGGGCTTTGACCTATGAACCGGGAGGTCACGGGTTCCATTCCTGGATCGATTCCGGGTTGGGAGTGAAGGAGGCAGCCGATCAGTGATTCTCATCATGGATGTTTGTCTATCCCTCTCTCTTCCTCTCTGAAATCAAAAGATTTTTTTATTTAAAGAGAAAATGGCGTCTGTGTGCAGCCTGGAGGGCTCCGGTTGGAGATGGCCTGACAGGTCAGTGGGGCAGCGGCAAGAAGCCTGGGTAGAGTCAGAAAAATCAGTGCCTTGGGAGGACCCTGTCCTGGAGGCAGCCTGACCTTGGCTGCAGGTTCACAGGCTGAGGGTGAGGGTTTGAGAGCAGGGTCCCACCTGGAGACCCTGGAGCCTGCAGTGCCTGGCAAACCAACTTTTTGTCTCTGTTCTTTTGAGCTTTGATTGCAGAGGAGACCATTAAAACAACTACCCACCATCCGTCCGGCCGGTGTGGCTCAGTGGTTAAGCTTCGACTTATGAACCAGGAGGTCGTGGGGTTTGATTCCCAGTCAGGGCACCTGCCCGTGTTGTGGGCTCCATCCCCAGTACGGGGCGTGCAGGAGGCACCCGATTGATGGTTCTCTCTCCTCACTGGTGTTTCTCTCTGCCCCTCTCCTTTGCCCTCTGAGATCAATAACATATTAGGAAAACAGATACAAAACCTTTTTTACAACCCAGCAAGTGAAAGGGCAAGTACCAGTGCACATGTGTTGATATATATGGGATTTGACATGTATGCTATTTTGTGTATTGACAACAAGCTTCAAAACTTCCTATGTCAAATTTTCTGAAGGTGTTAACATCATAGATATTGTAACGCCTAAAAATGTTGAATGTCGTGGCGAAAAAAGCATTTGCAGGAAGTTTTAATTCATTACTAGTAACTATTGAAAAAAATCCGCGTTATTAACCGGTACAACTGGTGATATCACTTTTTTGGTTTGAGGTCGCCGCCTTGTGGACATCTCTGGAATTGCATGTGGTTTGTTTAAACTTTTTTTTTTTTTAGTCATCACAAAGCAAAGCTACAGAAAAGTTACTAGTACAGAGAAATAGGAAGCCGGGTTGGGGGCTCCATTCCCCGTTGGGGGTGCAGGAGGCAGCCAATCAGTGATTCTCACCATGGATGTTTCTCTATCCCTCTCTCTTCGTCTCTGAAATCAATAACAAATACATATTAAAAAAAAATATATCACAGGCGCTGTGCCCAGCTTGCAGGGCTCCAGTTGGGGATGGCCTGTCAGGTCAGTGGGGCAGCGGCAGGAAGCCTAGGAGGAGGCACCTCAGGAGACAGAGTAATTAGTGTCTTGGGAGGACCGTGTCCTGGGGACAGCCTGCTCGGGGCTGCAGGTTCACAAGCTGAGGGTGAGGGTTTGAGAGCTGAGTCCCTCCCGGATACCCCGGATTCTCCAGTGCCTGGCAAACGTCCTTTTTGTCTCTGTTCTTTTGAGCTGTTATTGCAAAGGAGACCATTAAAACAACCCCATGCACAGCGGCCGGTGTGGCTCAGTGGTTGAGCTTCGACCTATGAACCAGGTGATCGCCCTGTAGGATTCCCAATCAGGGCACAGGCCCGGGTTGTGGTCTCGATCCCCAGTGAGGGGGTACAAGAGGCACCTGATCTATGATTCTCTCTCATCATTGGTGTTTCTCTCTGCCCCTCTTCCTTCCCCTCTGAGATCAGTAACATACTAAAAACAAAAACCCAAAACCTTTTTTAAAAAACCAGCTAGCGAAATGACAAGTAAAACCAGTTTTGTTGAGTGCGCCGTCTTGTGGACATCTCTGGAATTGCATGAAGATTTTTTTTAGGCATCAGAAAGCAAACTACAGAAAAGTCATCAGTACCGAGAATTCTTCATGAGCGATCTGAAATTACCCATTTGACACCCTATGACGTCAGAAATATTTGAATTTTTTTTTCCTCCCAAATACTTCCGAGGCGATTTCCTATAAACAAGGGCCTTCTCCGGCACAACCCTCAGAATCCGGAAGTTCACGCTGAGCGTCTCTACGGTCCAATCCTCTGACGGGTTCACATGTGGCCCGTTGTCCCAGGAAGGCCCTTCGCAGGCGGCCAGAGACCCCGCTTCACCCCCTTCCCGGGAGAGGCACCCTGTGCATTGAGTCTTCATTTCTCGCCAGTCCTCTTCCTGGAACCTTTTAAAGTCTCGAGTGCTTCACACTTTGCTTAACCAGCGGATACAAATGTCTAGAAAATCGGGCCCCCTCGAGACTCCAGAGACCCCCCTAGGATCGCAACCTGAACCGGGGAAGTAGCACAGGCGCCCCAGGACCTCGGAACTGCAAGAGATCGGGAGCCCGGCTCTTCGATTGTTTCGGCCTGGGCGCCGAGCGGCGCGCGCGTATAGTATGTCGGCAGGATCAATTAACGCTGCCTGTTGGAGGGCGCAAGGCACGCTGGGATGTGTACCTGGCGTTGGGCACGAGCACACCGGAAGTGTGTCGACGTCAGCGCGGTGCACGCCGGGAAGCGAGGCTAGCGGCGAGCGACGCATGCCGGGAAGTGCGTCTTGCGTCAGTCGCAGGGCACGCCGGGAAGTGTGTCGACGTCGACCCGGGGAATGCCGGGAGGTGTGTCTGAAGTCTACGCGGGGCATGCTGGGAAGTGCGTCTCTGCGTCGGTCGTGAGGTACGCCGGGAAGTTTGACGGCTGCGGCGCGAGGCATGCCGGGAGGTGCGTCTAGAAGTGGGTCCGGGCTAGTCCGGAAGTGTGTCAGAAGAATTTCGGGTCGCCCGGAAGTGGTCGTTGGCTGGCGCGGGCACGCTGTGTAGTGGTCGTTCGCCGGCCAGCGCGGGTCACAAAGGGAAGTGAGTCTGGTGACGGGACTGAGCCATGCCGGGAGGTCTGTCTTTCGGGAGCCCCGGGCGCCGCGGGGCGGGAGCAGGGAGGCGGCAGGATGGTGAACCTGAAGGCGGAGCTGATCGAGCAGGCGGCGCAGACACCAACGCCTTGCGGGACCGCGAGCTGGAC